TCAGTCAAAGGCAGACTATCCTTTTTTGTAATTGTATTCTCAGTAAATTCTAAAGCACTGAGATACTTGCATTCCATAATATTGTCTGTATTCCCTTGAATGGCAATTGAGTATAACCAAAACTGAGTGGAATAGTTATAGAGGGAAAAAATAAATAACAATCTATGTCTTTATGCCTATAACTGCATAAATCCCTACCTAAGTAGGTTATAATAGATTCAAAATGAGAAACTAACAGATTATTTCAACATTCATCTAAGAAATTGATTAGCTGCATGTTATCAGAAATTTAGTAAACACACAGACAATTCAAACAAAATTAATAGACTTTATGTATAGATACTGTCTTCTGAAAAGCAACATACATACCATTAATTAATCATTTAAAAAGTGATTCAGAGCTAGATCTAGATTGTATTTAGATCATTATCATACAGTATTTTCTGAATAAAATATAACTGAATTAAAAAGTATACTAAAATCATTAGTAAAATGGTTGGAAATAGAGAAACTGTACCTCTAAATCACTATGTGTTGAATTTAAAAGTCACAAACACTACAAAATATAAGAAAATGAATTAAATCAAGTAATATATGCATGTATACTGTTGATGCAGAGAATGGGAAATGTATCCTAAACTTTCTAAAAACTGTAAAACTAAAAAGTTATCATTAATGGGTCCATGCCTTTAATCTAGACACTAGGGGGCAGAAGCAGGAGGATCTCTGTGAATTGGAGGCCATGCAGGTCTATGTACAGCATTCCAGGCCAGCCAAGGCTACAGAGTGAGACTCTGTCTCAAACAACAACAATAGCAAAAAGCATTGAAAATCAACAAGGAAAAAAGGAGAAATACACAAAACTATGGATATGAAAAATTGTAGCTATAAGACAGAAATAATGAGGAGCTTTGCACCATTCCTGTGTGTGAAAACTCAATTATATAAACTTAGTTCTTCCCAGTTTCATATCTAAATTCAATATAATTCAAACTCAAAATATGATAAGGGATTTTCATAAAATATGAAAATTTTATACTAAAATCATACAGAAGATCAAAGAGATTACAATAACCTAGATAATTTTGAGGAAGAATAGAGTAGAAACGTGAAACCCTACCAGACAACAATTGATTTAAAGTTATACAAACCAATGGAATAGAACAGAACAGAAAGCATAGAAGTACAACTGTCTGTTGATGAACACTTGATATTTTGCTGAGGAAATGACAAAAATGAAACATAGTGAGTAGAGTTGCTATCAATGCTTATCTGTGAGAGAAAAGGAAACTTAGATCACAGGTTCACACTATATACAAAAACAGATTTTGGAAAGATTAACGTCCCAAATGAAAAGGTAAAATTTTAATTTTTAAAGACCCTGATATTTATTTTCTATGTGTGTTGGGTCATGTTACACCCATACAGAGATCAGAAGACAAATTGTACAAGTTGGTACTCTCCACTATTTGAGTTCCACTGATTGAATTCAGGTCAAGTTTGTTTACCTGTTAAGCCATCTCCCTGGACCACATTTTTTATATGTAATTTAACTTTTGTTGAAAATATGTTTTTTTTCAAACAATATATTCTTAGCCAAGTTTCTCCTCTCCCAACTCCTCCCAGATCCTCCACACTTACCCTCCCTCTGTCTGTCTGTCTGACTCTCTCCCTCATTAAGAAACAAACAGGCAACTAAACACACATATGCATACACACACACACACACACACACACCCCACACACACCCCACACACACACACCTGAATAGGCAAACACAAGAAAACATTCAGAAAAAAAAAGCCAAAAGAAAAGTACAAGAAACATGAAACATACAGTTGCATATCCAAACACACACACACACACACACACACACACACACACACACACACAGAGAGAGAGAGAGAGAGAGAGAGAGAGAGAGAGGTCCCATAAAAACACAAAATCAGAAACCACAGTATAGAAAAGATTTGTGAGATTAAACATTATGAGGCAAAAACCTTCCAAAACCACCACTGAGTTTGTTTTGTGTTAGCCATCTATGGCTTAGCATTGAACCTGCCCTTAAGTGTGGCTTGTGTATCCAGCTATGCAGAGAGACTCCATTGGAGGAAACTAATATTTTCTTTGTGGTCTATTGTCATTTGGAGATCAGAATTTGTACCTACTTCCCCACTCAGTGCTAGAACCCCATCTGGCTTAGCCCTGTACAGGCTCTGTGCATGCTGTCACACCCTTAGGGAGTTCATATGTATATCAGTCTTGTAGTGTTAGAAGGCCTTGTTTCCTTGGTGTCTTCCATCCCCACTGGCTCTTACAATCTTTCTGCCTTAACCACAAAGCTCCCTGAGCCATCAGGGAGAAGGATTTGATGGTGCTATCCCTATAAGGACTGAGTGTTCCAGAGTCTATCACTTGCTAGTCATTGTCCAGTTGTGGGTCTCTGTATTTGTTCTATGTACTTAATGCAGGAGGAAGCTTCTCTAATGATGGCTTAGCAAGACACTGATCTATGGATATAGAAGAATATCATTGATTCATTTTATTGCTATGTTCTTTCAGCAGAACAGTAGTATTCGGTTTTCTCCTAGATCTATAGTCTATCTAGTCTCAGGTTCTTGACCACCTGAGCAGTATCAGGAATAGGCTCCATCTTATGGAGTGCTCCTTAATCCTAATCAAATAGTGGTTGGCAACTCTCACAACTTTTGTACCACTATTGCATCAAGTTACCATTGTGGATCAAAGAGTTTGTAGTCTTTCTCCTTTGGTAGAATGCAGCATACCTTTCAGTACCATGAAAACTAGTCAATAGGGCTAAAGGTTCTAATTAGGTACCAGTTTAAAGTTGATTTCTCCATAGTCAAAGAATTATGTAGATGTTATCATTAGCAATAGGGCCTAGAACTAAGTAATATACATATATATGTACTAATTATATATATATATATATTTGTATATTCTATTCCTATTGTATATTATATCCTATTGCATATTCTATTGTATATTGTATAAGATATTATATATTCAATATCCTATTATGTATTCTATATATAAAACATTTGTATATTTGTATATATTCATATATATAGAATATATATGTATGTATATAGAATATATATGTATGTATATAGAATATATATAAAATTTACATTCAGATAAAATACTCTCATACAAAAATAAAATAAAGCAAATCTAAAAATAAATTAACATAATTGCAGGAACTAATATATCCTATACATATTAACTTACAAAGGATAGGCATCTCTACTATATCAAGAACTTTAATAAGGATGGAACAGTTCACCAGGATGTCAGGCCCTGCCTACAAAGCCTCAAGGCCTGTCAAGTTTTTTTAACTAATTGTTTCATTTATTTATATCCCAAATATTGGCCCCCTCCTGGTCCTTCCTCCTGGAGTTCTTCCCCTCATTCCTCGTCCCCTTCACCTCTGAGAGGATGCCACCCCCAACATCCCCCTTCCTTGGCACATCTAGTTTCTACAGGATTAGGTGCATCCTTTCCCACTGAAAGGCCTGTCAATCTTGACCTAATATCTACATCCAGGCTTTACCTCTTAAAGGTTCTACAACCTTCCCAAACAGCAGCAGCAGCCTGTGTTTAAAAACATATTCATATGGGGGACATTTCACATTAACCTTCAACAGCCAGTTATGACAGAAGTTCAACTCACCAGTTATCAGAAATGTGAAGATTAAAATGTAGCCATCAGATGGTCCAAGATGTGAAGGTCTGGAAACACCATGGTTTTGTTTTTTTGTTTTTTGTTTTTTGTTTTTTTTTTTATGAGTATGTGGTTAAGGAAAAGCTCCTTTCACTACTGCTGAGAGAGTACATTGGTAAAACCATCTGTGAGACCACATTGGTGCAGTTTATGAAGCTGTTACATGGACCCCCAACTCCTACATCAAGATGTATTTTTATAGAATCCTTTAAACTGGTTTCCAAAGAGACTGATGTTAAGGAAGTTCATTACATCGTGGTTTGTAATAATGGGAAACTGAAAATTTGGACATATTCAAGCAACAAGATAAAACCTTATAGCAATAAAGTAACAAATTATTTTGTACCAACATGGATACAGCTGCAGAAATGATGTTGAAGGCCAAAGCAACTCATAACGGTATGTATATTCTTCAGCATAAAGTTCTTAAATGCAGTATTTAAGAACATGTAAAGTATTGATGCGAGATTGAATCATGCAAAATGACTATTTTCCCTAAGAATAGACAGTAATAACATTGTAATTTCAAGGTAACACATGACTACATGCATGGTATTGATGGCCATCGAATTCAGTATGGCGTTATCTCCTTAGCAGTGATGCTGAGGACTAATGGTATGGGATTGATAAGGTACATTGGGATAGTTTTAGGCTTGGCTGCTGGATTTTGTTTTTTTAAAAAAAATAATTGGAATGTACAGATCCCTGGATTCTATCCTAGCATAACATGCAAGCAAAAACAAATTCCCTGAAACCAAATGGTTTTGGAGAAATTATGGCAAGTGTTAAATTTATTAAAGCAGGGTGATGGATACACATGATCATACTCTGTGTGTGTGTGTGTGTGTGTGTGTGTGTATTCTTGTACATTTCTGTTAAAGCTTTGATTTTTTTAAAAGAAAGTTAAAGTCTTAATCGAGGCATAAAATTTTAATCTCACATTATAAAGAAATATTTACAAAATGATTAAATCTTCTGCTGCTTACTTATCTGAACATAGCACCCAGGAGACTTTTAGTATGACATAAAAAAACTGAGAAACATCTCTCTCTTCACACACCAGTCGAAAGCTTCCAATTTTGTTTTGTTCCTTTAACTTCGGTAAGATCATCCTCATATAAACCATTCATTAGTGCCTTTTATTTGTTCACTGTCGTCTTGTGGTGGTCAGATTCATCTGTATGCCAGTTATATGAAATCTAGTGATGATGCTCAATGTTTCTTCCTTTTCTTTCTTAACTTCTTATGCTTACAGGAATCTGCAAGCAGAATATGATCGTCTGAAGCAGCAGCATGAGCATAAAGGCCTGTCCCCACTGCCGTCTCCTCCTGAGATGATGCCCACCTCTCCCCAGAGTCCCAGGGATGCTGAGCTCATTGCTGAGGCCAAGCTACTGCGCCAACACAAAGGACGCCTGGAAGCCAGGATGCAAATCCTGGAAGACCACAATAAACAGCTGGAGTCTCAGTTACATAGACTGAGGCAGCTTCTGGAGCAAGTAAGGCCACCCCCACCTCTCTAATATTGGCTAGTTACAAACTTTCACTTTCCTTCTTTAAACAAAATCAAAAGACAGAACTTCAACTTTAAAGTACTTTTCAATATTTGTTTCACATCATTTCCTCTCCCAATATGATTTTGGTTTTTGGTTTGTATTCTGTTCATTTGTTTAACCAATTGGAAATGCATCTTATAAGGAAATGTCAGTCATTTCTCTGTGGTATACCTTTAGGCTTTTTCCTTCTCCAAATCACTAACATATAATTTAAAGATTTACATATCCACTGGGACCTAGGAAGATATAGCATTAAAACAGACCCCAGCCAGACATGCTCTGGGTTTTCTGAGAATTTAAATAATAAAATAATGTTCTTTCTATCATGGTATATAATTTCTTAAGGGGGCTTATATGTTTTCTGTTCTCACTTGGTCTTCTTAATCTTTTAGTCTTTTAATTTAGTGACTTAGATTTTTGTTTGGCCATATCTATATTTTTCTGTGTTTTTATAAGAGAAAACAGTTCAGCTGCAAAGATATATTCTTGGATCATATCAACAATAAAATACGACACATTCTTCAATTTCTGGAAGTTTTCTAAGTAGGAATGGTAATGATGTCTGAGTTCTGGTTGTCTATAATAATCCTATTTTCTGAGTCTATACTATTCCTATAGTGTTTATGAGTTTATTATGAAAAATAATACTTTTCTTCTGTTGCATCCTTTAGCCCCAGGCTGAGGCTAAGGTGAATGGCACCACAGTGTCCTCTCCTTCTACCTCTCTGCAGAGGTCAGATAGCAGTCAGCCTATGCTGCTCCGAGTGGTTGGCAGTCAAACTTCAGAATCTATGGGTAAGTATCAGTTCCTTCTAGAATTAGTTCTCTAAGTGTCTGTAAAAGTTAAAATTTCTGCTAACAGTATAAATCATGAAGTGAATTTATAACACCCATATCACATATGCTTTAGAGCAACTAGTGTGATTAATTAAATATAAAGATAGTGTGTCAAGCAAGAGGTAGAGAGAAATCAGTCTGCAGAGGAAAGATAGAGTCCCATTATAGGGATGCTTAACTCATTTTAGGAAACTTCTGAAAGTTATATCACAAGTGAGAAGATCTGAAAAGATATTTCTTAAAAGGTGTATTTGAAGCCTGCACCAGCCCAAAGAAAACCTTTTCTAGATGTATACAGCAGTTAGGGGATATTTGTTCAGGCCAACATATATGAAATTTGTTGTCAGTATAGAGCAAACTATTTCCCCCCTTTCCCTAAGCTATGCATAGGTCCCTTCATGTGTTATGCAAGCATTTTTACCACATAACTATACCTCCAATCCAAGTATTATATTGTTTCTAAATTATGTATATTATCATTTGTATGTATATGTATGTCTATGTATATGTGTGTACATATATATATACTGGTGACTTCAAAGGCCAGAAGAGGGCATTGATCACCTGGAGCTGCAATTACAGGTAGTCATGAGCCACTTGACACAGTTGCTGAAAACTGAAATCTGGTCCTCTGGCAAGAGGAGCAAACACTTGTAACCACTAAGTCATCTTTCTAGCTCCCCAGGAGTGTACACTTGGATTGTTTTGAATTGCATTTAAGAAAACAGCAGACTTCTTGAATTAAATTACACATCCATGAATTTGACTGCTGAAGGACATGAGATCAAAAATTTGTAACAAATGTGCCTGCTTGCAATACTTTGGGGAAGACTTTTGCTTCTGTTTTTCTTTCTGTTGCTATGACAAAAAACATGACCTAAATCAGCGTATGGGGAGGAAGTGTTTATTTCCGTTTATAGCTTACAGTCTGTCATTGAGAGGTCAGGGCAAGAACTTAAACAGGAACTCGAAGCAGAAACTACTGAGGAATGCTGTTTGCTTGGTATATAGACCCACACTTAGGCTATATTTCTTGTAAAGGAGCTTTAGCCCAAGGAATGGTGCTGCCCACAGTAGGCTGGGCCCTTCTACATCAATTAACAATCAACACCATAGACATCCTCACCAGCCAGTCTATCTGGGCAATCACTGAATTGAGATTCCCTCCTTAGGTGACCCTAAACTGTGTCATGTTGACAATTAACGCTAAACAGGACAACCTCTATTTGAGTAATGGTGTGGTAAAGGACTGAGAAGTAGATACAGCTTCAAGGAAGATATACTCAAAAGGATGAAATCTTAGTGAGTGTAGTGGAGAAGAAAGTTAATTAAAGCCAATGAAATCACTGTGAGTGATAGACCCTTTCAGAGAAAGCAGTTTCAGAGAAGGGAAGTTGATCAGTGAAAAGAAATAAAAATTAGTGAAAGGAATGAAAATTTTAGAATATTGTGCTTTGTTTTTCCCATTGCTGAGACAAATACTTGAGGAAAGCAGCTTTAGGGTGAAAGGGTTTCTTTTGGCTTAGTTCAAGGGTTACAGTCTGTCACAGTGGGGAAGGCATGACTGCAGAAGCTCCAGAAAGCTGCTCATGTCACATCCCCAGTTAGGAACTAGGAAGAGATGAATGCTGGTGTCTAGCTCACATTCTCTTTTTTATAATCAGACCAGAAGCCCAGCCAGTAGAAAGATATCACCTACATATGAGTGGGTCTTCCAATTTCAGTTAATCTAGTCTAAAGCTTCCTCACAGACTTGCCTACATATTTGTCTCTTAGATGATTCTAGGTTCTGCCAAGGTGACAATTAAACCTCACAACTCCCAAGATAGAGTTAGTTGAATCTGGGGAGGAAATGGTAAGTGTTTAGCATGGTCTTATGTCATTTATTCTTCTTTGGGAATCTGCACAGTACTGGGTTCTAAGAAATCTATAGTTGGTGTTGCAGACATGATATAATAAGCGTACAAGGCAGATGCCTTGTGTCATGAATGGTTATTACAGCACTTGTCAGGTAATGTTTATTGTTTGTCCTGAGCTGCTAGACAATCATGTTTAATGAATGTCACCAGTATTTGATCTGTTTTCTTCATTTCTCCTCTTTTATGAATGAGTAAGCATAAATCAACCCCATAACTATATTTCTTTTCCTTGGGTCCTAACCTAGTTTTCCTTGGGATTCCCACTGTTTCCTGGAAGATCTTAATGTAATAACATGACTACAGTCCCCAGATATACTGGAGTCAGAGGGGGAAGGATCAATTTGAGATATGACTGAGCAACAGAGTGATACCACAGCTTAAAAACAACAGCCCTTCAAATCAGTATTAACTCACAGACAGACTACATTGTTCACCCTCAAAGCCTGGTGTAGGAATTCATTCTTAAGATGATTTATGGCCTAGACTAAGAGAGATGAAGTATGGAACTCAGACTGTAAAAGCAGAAAAATAAGGTTGAAGGTAGAAATGTGTTACTATGGAAGATTGAGAGATTAAGGTGAACCTGGGTCTGGTGGCTCACACTTGCAATCCCAACAATTGGGAAGCAGAGGCAGAGTGATTGCTGCAAGTTTTGCTGCCATCTGGGTTTACATAGTGAATTGTAGACCAGCCAGGGATATAGTGAGACAATATCTCAAGAAATGAGGGGGATGGAGAGAGAATGAGAATAGATGGATTGAAGTCAGAGGAGTGAGATTGTGATCAAGAAAGTTGAATAAATGGAGTATTAGGAGTAGTTTCAAATTCTTCCTCTGTTTACACATTCAAGGTGTAGGTTCCCACTCACCTTGGAAGCATGGTGCATGGAGATCAATGAAAAGGTTAGAATATATACACAGCTTATGCTGAAATCTAGCCAGGATTGAGCAATTCAACCAGCAGGGAGCTGAGACCATTGGAGTGATAATAGAGATTCACAGATGTTGAAGAAGGTGGATGAGGATTCTAAGAAGATAAGGATGCCTGAGGAAAGAGAGAATAGTTGAAGCAAATACAGTGATGTTCAAAAATCACCAGAGCAGAGAGCACCTCCAGGTCCCAAGAAGGCAAACCTTATAGGAAAGCCAGGATCCAGTTGTTCTCAAACAGAAGAAGATATGTTTGCCGTGGTTTTCCTTACTACATGTCAGGGATTTAGGTCAATCTCCATTAGAATCTCCTTTTGTACATGAGATATGAATACAGCTAATGGACTGTTGGAAGTGAAAATGACAGCATAGAGCTTGAAAACATACTGCACACCTTTGAGAAGTCAATGAATTCTGAAAACAAATGAGCATTGGTATCTCTGTTATTTCCTACTTCAGGGTTTTTCCTTCCTTTTGAAGTCATGCATGAGAGATTAAATCATGGATTTTAGCTGTGAGCCTCAGAACTCTGGATGCTTAGAAGTATTAATTATTTAGATTGTCAACACCTAAGAGGCAGCATACTTGTTATAGCACTCAAATTAAAGTACGTAGCAGAGTGGTACTGATGAATTGTAGAACCCAGAATGTTCTGGCAGAACTGAATACAAAGATAGAAGTGCTATATGCTAGTGCCTAAGTTAGGATAAGAGATAACTTGCCCATTTAAAATTGATAGGATATGTTTCAATGTTTGGTTTCTGAAAGAAAAGACTAAATTCAAAGGTGCTTTTTCTTGAACTATGTAAACCAACTTTATTTAATAAGGGGGAAGAGGGGATCTTTTAAAATGATGGTCCCAGATGTTTAAATAACTATGATATGTGTTCTTCTATTTTGAACTTTTGAGATGTGGTACAGATGAAATTGGCTGAGTTATATTCTAGATGAAGATAGTATTCTTTAAAAACACAGCTCCAGTGCTTTTCTTTCAAGTGAAGTATGGTAGAAGTCATACCTAGTTATTTGTCTAAGAATTCAACTACAATTGGCTGTCCTCATGTGCAAGTTCCATATCATAGACTTAACCAACCAAACTTAGAAATATTTGGGGAAGGTGTCCATTTGTAATGAAGCATATAGACCTTCTTGGATCATTATTTTCTGAATTTAATAATGATATAGGAATTAGTTACATATCATTTACATTGTATTAGGCATTACAAATAATGTAGAAATGATTTAAAGTATATGGGAAGATGCATATGGTTTCTTTGAAAGTACTTTATATAAGCAGCTTTAGCAGTTATTTTGATCCTGTAACCACCCCTATCCCACAACAGATCAGGAGGGACCACTTTATCTCTCTGAGTACAAAGTACTTCTTACTAAAAAGGCTCTTTGCATTGCTTGTATTCTATACAGTTGTTACTGGGAGATTATTCTAATGGAATTTACATTTTATTGGAAGAGACAAATAAAAATGGACAAAACTAGTCTTGTTGACATTCCAGGCCTCTGCATTCTCATGCAAATGCATTCCTAAGAATTCTGCAGAGCCAATAACTCCTTACCTTCTCAAACCCACTCTTCCACTGCTTTATTTAAAATACGAAACATCTCCCAAGCATTAAAAGTAGATTTCATTGTTAATATTAGTAATTATATGTGATTTTTTCTGTATTTTCTTATTTAGAAAAAACTCCAGATTTATAACAAAATTGTAATTAATTCACCATTTTGCCACAGTTGCCATATATCCATTTGTTTATGTATTCTTAGACTAATGTTTTGTTTATATGAACATCTATTTTTTGTATGTCTCTAAGATGACATCTTTACATACTCTGAATCACTTTATCCATATTTTATGTGCATATCCATCATACTTACATTTATATAATTGTTTGTTGGCTTATTTTATTTCAGTGACCTATTTAGTGTCTGTTTCACATAAAATAACATTTTACCCAAAAGACCTGAAGACATGTCTTCTTTCAAGTTGAAAGATATTTTCTTACATAACCAACATAAAATTGCTACTCAAGAAATAAACATTGGTCTGAGGACTGTAAATCACTGGTAGTAATATCATCTTGTATGTGCAAAG